CATACATACAAACAGACATTCAGCTTTATATATAGGATTTCATCGAATCGTATTGTAGAGGGAAGCTTTGGAGAATGCTTCTACCAATGCAGAAGTACTTCAAGTGATGGGTGGTGCTAGCAAAGCTCTAAAAGCCGCACACAACAACATGGATATTGATCAGGTAATTTTTCTACGCTTTTATCCACACAGTTCATTATGAGATTTTAGGTGCATGATTTGATGGAAGACATCGCTGAGCAGCAGGAGGTGGCTAACGAGATTGCAGAAGCTATTTCTAACCCAGTAGGATTTGATAGAAACATCGATGACGAGGAGCTGCTGAGAGAACTTGAGCAGCTTGAACAGGTAAACTTTTTTTTGTTTGAAAAAAGTGGTCTTAGTTTCTGAAAAAGTCCAATTTGCAGGAAGAATTAGACAAGCAGCTGTTGGACGTCCATCCGACCCCAGTTGTACTACCTGATGCACCATCGACAGACTTGCCAACCGCCAGCAAAGCAAAACCAGCCAAAGCTGACCATGACAAGGACCTCGAGGATCTTGAAATGTGGGCCAATGCGTAACAAGCCACTGTGTAAAGTTGTGTATTCCATGTTCTACTTTCTTCTTCCTCTGCACCGCTCTAGACATTCTGCAATTTGCCGCTTTCCCCGGTCTGCTTGCTCGTTTCAATTAATCAGCTCATGTATTTTCTAGTTCAACCACCTTCGGGCAGTTCGTTGTACATTTTTTCTTCTTTCTCCCAAGTTTTTCCAACTGTCTGATCTATTTTCGATCAGCTCACTTTACAACGTCCATGCGTTTCTAGCCAATGAGCCAACCATCGAAGGCTCTCAATGCCAGCAAGACTATGTCTTTTGATTTGTTACTGGCATGCACTGTAGAAGTTTTTTTCCTAATTTGAACTTGTACTTTAACATTACATCTTATTACACAGAACAGTTTATCTGATAATTTCGTTCAATACAGTTTTCAAATAATACGGATATTGGTAGGTTACTTGTAACTACTCACTCATACAAGAAGTCATAAAATAGTTGTACTGAGAAATTGCGAAATGGACAGTAGAACATCAGTTTGTGTTGAAAAACCTTGTCAGGGAATTTTAAGACTGGATATCATGTGACGGACAATCGCTTGCTAGGCGTTTCGCTCTTACTGTTTTCGTGCTTCTCAAGAATTGTCACCATCCGCATATTACTCTTTCTGAGTGTAAGGTTATGCGTAAGAAACAATTGCTACGAATCTGAGATAATATTGCAACAGGAGTGGGTGCACGTCGCAAGTATGACTAAGCTGCTATCGGCTGAACTTGTGATAGAAGCTTAACAGGGTACTCATCGCTATTACTCATCGCTTGAAAAAAGCAGCTACTATGTAGAGTTGATGAGTGTTCAAGAGCGTTCATTTGCATTTGTTAATTAGGTTTCTAATACGCTCTGGTTTTCCAAAAATTAGCTTTTTGAGCTAAATTGGCTAATTTTTGAAAGTTCCATTTTAGCATGCATTGATGAGTTCTCACGTATTATTGCGCCCAGCGCTGTTAGGATCGGATTACTTGAGCTGATGTAGGAACGTCCACCATTAAAAGCTTTCTGGAAAAACAGATTATTTGGAAAGAAGTGGTTAGATCAATGAGATAGCATGGCAGGAACCTAACGCTTTCCTCAAATTACACAAATATGGACAAGTATGAGGGAGAATTGCCTAGTAAAGTGCTGGGAATAATTCTTGAGGGCATATATTTGTTTATTAAAAATACATAACCG